TTTCTAATTCGTTAAAAAAATTTACAAAAAAAAGTAAGAATCCGACAGTAGTCGGCCACTTAAGGCAATCTTTTTAATTAACAATGTTTTAAAAGTGCCTTTTCATATTTTTTTCGAATTCTTTTATGTAATGTTGTTCCTTACGATCACACAAAACTATTAAAACAATCATGTTTATAAAAAATAAATTTTTATTCGTTAACAAAATTAGTAAATAAACAAGTAAGAATCTGACAGTGATCGGCCACTTAAAAAAGCTTTCAAAAACCGTACAAAATTCTTTTTTCAATTACAAAAGCTTAGATTTGTTTATAATCACCTTAGAAATGATTATCAACAAACAAAATATTTTTATCTCATACGGTTTTATACACTGAGAAAACTGGAGTATTGGACTTAACATCTGGAGGGACAAATCGTTGATATTTGAGAGTTAGCTATTGGATAACAATCTAAATGTTCAAATACACCATTGACAGATATTCGTGCCATTTCTCTAACAGAGGGACAAATTAACCATCTTGAGAAATCCCTTCCTTATCCGGCGCGAAATGAATAAATATGGCAACCTAACCCCTAAATTAAATACATAAAATGTCAGAAAAATAATTTCGCGTGCATCAGATCGTACACATTTTCTGCGCAACTTTTAACCCTCAGATATAATGGGAGAGAATATACAAGTAGATTTCCATTATCAATTCAAAATTTATTTTAGAAGGACTATTTAACTCTCTTCATAAGCAAAGGAAACATACACTTTTTGAACCTCTGAATTTGACTCTCCAGTTTTCTCAGTGTAGCTATTCAAAATTGAAAAGTGGCCGACTACTGTCTGGTTTACCCTATACACGGTTTTTAATTTTTACTAAGCGGCAATTCTCTACCACGAATCTTGATATAATTTTCTAAATAGTTTTTTAATAGGGGAGAGTCTCCGGTTGTGAGACAGTCAATTTTTTTAACATGCAATATTAAAAAGCCGATTGGTTTATATAAAAACATTTCTTTTTATATGAGCCAACTTTTTCGTGTACGCCGAAGCGGATATATAAACTGTTTTTGTTAAATACCAACACTGTGTGTGATAATCGACTAAAAAGCGTTTTTTCAATAAATACAAAGTACTTTTTTTCCAAGTTAATTAATTAGAAAAGGTAAATGTAATGCATTTTCTTTTAGTGTTTTTCTTATATTTTGTGATGCAATATTGCATTGTTCCAATCTACGGTTGAAAATAATTTAATTTTCCTTTCTCAAAATAGCGCCAATTTCTGGGTGTGAGACACAGCATATCACCAGTTGTGAGACGGTGTCAACACTCATCTGGGCAGCATAAAAAATACGACTTTGCAAGCATGTCAAGTGGAAGAAAGTCAATTGATTCAGAAGAAATCAATTTTAATGCTCTTGTTGAAGCTATTAAATTGTGTTTATTTGATAGTCATATTTTGGCGAATAAATATTATTATTTAGTATATAATAATATATATTATTAATATATTTAATTATTTCCACTAAACATAACGTTTTATGTCAAACTTATTAAATTTTAGCAATTTTTAATGAGTGTCTCACAACTGGAGACATTTTTTTTTTGACAAAAGCGATGTGCTCGGAAAATGTATCGTAACATTTTTTGAGTTCATCGAAACACTACACTTTCTTTTAATAAAAGTTGCGTATTTCTGTTACCTTTCGAACGGTGTATTTTATTTACAATTTCGTTTACCCGTTTACAATTTACGGGTCAAAAATAAAACCCGTCTCACAACTGGAGACTCTCCCCTATTTTTAAAATTCTTTTACGTATGGAAATGGAAAAAAATTCATTTCTTTAACCCTTTAACGCCCAAATGTGCTGATTTTTAACTTCGGTTTCAAGCTTATAATATTAAAAGAAAAAAATTATTAAAAATTCTACAAGGACATGTCCATATGTCTTTGGGGTCGCTCTTTCGAATGGCATGGTCAAAATTTCCAAAAAGTGACGTTTAACCCTTATTATTTTCAAAAATACTCAAAAAATATAAAATTTTGGGAAGTATTTTTTTTAATCCAATTTTAGTTGTGATACCGATACAATTTTCCAAAATTCTTGAAATCGCTTGAAATCTGTTACTTGAGGATTTTCGAGGTCGCTGATTACGAATCTGAAGTCAGATTTTAAAAATTCAAAATGGCGAATCCAATATGGCGGACAATAAAATTAAAAATGCATAGTATTCGCTTGAAATTTTTTTACTCGGGTGATTTCGGGGTCGCTGATTACGAACCTGAAATTAGATTTAAAAAATTTAAAATGGCGGATCCGATATGGCAGACTAAAAAATTAAAAATGCATCGCCTTCGTTTAAAATTTGTAACTTGGGGGTTTTCGGGGTCGCTGATTACGAACCTGAAATTAGATTTAAAAAATTTAAAATGGCGGATCCAATATGGCGGACGACAATATTAAAACTTCATGTATTGGCTTCAAATTTGTTACTCGGAGGTAAAATATGTAAATAGCCAATAGGATAAAGTTTTAATTTTATCATCCAGCTATATTGAATCCGTCATTTTGAATGTTTAAAATCTGATTTCAGATTCGTAATCAGCGACCCCGAAAACCCCCAAGTAACAAATTTGAAGCGAATACTATGCATTTTTAATTTTATTGTCCGCCATATTGTATCCACCATTTTGAATTTTTTAAATCTGACTTCAGATTCGTAATTAGTCACTTTTTTTGACCATGCCATTCGAAAAAGCAACCCTAAAAACGTAGGGATATGTCCTTGTAGAATTTTAAATAATTTTGTACTTTCAATATTATGAGCTTGAAACTGAAGTTAAAAATCAGCACATTTGGGCGTTAAAGGGTTAATACAAATTGAGATTTATTTGAATCTAACACTGCTTTGTTTTGATGCAAATAAATTGAGTATGTGGACTATATTTAAAGCAATTAAAAGTATATTAGTCTGAATTAACATAATAAATTATGAAGAATAATTGCATATTTGATACAAATAAGTATTTAGTTATTTTAAAAACAATATTTTATTTATGCAAATAAATATTTATTTGAATTAAAAACTATGCATTATTGAATCAAGTAATTTTCCTATAACTGATTTAAAGTAATATTTATTAGATCCAATTATTTGACTCAAATAATTCGAATTTGCTACAAATACCTATATACAGTAGAAACTACAAATGCCTTGTGCTTGAAGTTGCTGCAGAAAATTGAAAGTCTGCGTTGCATCTCATGATATTGTAATCAATGCCTAAATACTTGTCACTAAAACATGTGTCATCGTTGGTCATCAATATGAAAAATATATACAAACTTGAAAATTGTATAATTTATTGAAAAATATGTATAAACATCAAAATTAATGAAGGTTAATGGAAGTCAATGGAAGCAAATATTTTGCATAGTGAAATTCGTGATTGTCAAATCATTTTGCAGGTTGAAAGATAAGTATAATCAACATTTATAATTTCAAAATAAAGGTTAAATAGAATAAAAACATTACAAAATGCATAATAATTTTCTTATAAAGTTTGTTTTATAAAAGTGAATAATATTTGACTAATTTGTAATTTAAACTTTTATTATTTTTAGTAAAACTAACAAGTGTAATAAAAAATTAAAAGATGAGAAAAATAAGGTTATATTTGAGTTTCGAAAGAATTGTAAATAATATGTATTGAAAATAATTAAATTTATTTTTATTACTAATTTTATTTAACTTTATAATATTATTCAGTTACTTGTAAAATTATTTCTGAAAATTTTTCTATTTTATTTATCATGTAATAATAGAACAAGAATTGGTTAATTTATTTTTTGTTCTAGGAAAATAAAATATAGTAATGAGAGAATATAAATTTATTATCAAAAAGCTGTTTCCAGATAAATATGAGGACTTGATTTACAACGAGTATTAGGATCAATTGAAGGACAAGATTTAAGGCGTGTTTTAAAATCAATTGAAAGACTAGATTTTGGACGAATTTTAAGATGAACTCATGAACCTCGATTTCGGAGAAATTTTCTGAAATTATAATAAAATTGAAAAAAATATAGAATCTTTTTAAAAAATTATATTATTAGATTATATTATTAACTGTCAAGAACGCGAATCACTTTATTTTAATTTTATTATTATGCTCAAATTTTGTTATTTTTAAATATAACGTTTAATTTTTTAAGTATTTTGATGAAAAATTTAAAAAATTTATTTATTTACAATTAATTGGATTATTTTCTGGATTAATAAAATTATTTTGAGTTATTCAATTATTTTAATTACAATTTTAACAAAAGTTCTTTATCAAACTTAATTATTTTGGAAATATATATACTTTCATATTTTTAATAATTTAAGATGGGAAATTGAGAAATCACTATTTTATATTATAAGAATATAAAAATAATTATTATTTTCAGGAATTTTTACCAAAAATTCTTCTTTCAACCAATTAACTTTCGAAAAAGTTCTATGACAATTTTCAAACCCATTTCTTTACAATATTAAAATAAAAATCAAAATAAAAACTTCAAATAATATAGAAAAATTAAATTCAACTTTAAAAAAAAATTAATTTCAAAATTCAATTATTTACAAGAATTGCAATTGTTAGTAACTTCTCCAAAATTCAATTATTATTTAAAATTTAGACTGAAATTCATTTTAAAATCAATTTTTATTAGAAAATTCTACGAGAATTAAATTACTTAAGTATACAAAATTAAATAATTTATTAAATAATCCAATGTTTCTTAAAATTCAATTCTCATAAAGAATTTTATCAACAAATTATTAAATATTGAATTCTTTCTACGACTTTTAATAAAATTTATAAGACAAATAGTGGTAAAAGGAAGAATTTTCAAAAAAAATACATGCGTAATATTATATAGTGTGAACTCAACGTCAATTACAATAACAAATTATTGTAATTGACGTTTTGGTTAGTTAGACTCTTTTTCTTTCTCGTGGCAGGACACATTTAAAAACATGTTTTATTTAGTGCAGTGGGTCTCGGGAAAAGAAATAAGTGTAATTGAGGAATCTAATGTTGTTGAAATATTTAAACATTCTGCCCAAATTTCTTGGAATGGGAAAACATACAAAGCCAAAATATTAGCAGTAAATGGTAAGTAAATAAATTGTAATTGTGTGTATTTTGTAGGTTTTTTGTGTGTGTATATTTTTTTATTTCTTATTTATTTTTTTTATTTATATTTATTATTTTCTATTTTTATTTATATATTACATTATTTTACAAGAAAATTTGAATTTAAAAAAAATGTTTCCTACAAAAAACGTTTATATCCTCTTCTTATATACAATTGTCTCATTTAAAAAAAAATTTTTAAGAGTTAACATTAAAAATATATTCTACTCTTTATATTAACTTACTGTCAGTAACAATTCAATCATTATCACTCAGTGTCTAGTAATAACATTTATTAGTCCTGTTATTTTTATCTTTATTTTAATTGCATTCAACTATAATATTTAAGGGAATTGTTTTTCTTATTTAGGAAAGAATGAACTATTTATTAACCAGTCAAATAACATAAATATATAAAATCAACTTATATTTTAGATGACAGACAATGGTTGGAGTCATTGCAAGTGAATGTTGCAGGTTCCATTTGCGGCCAAACAAAGGCAAATGGTAATTATTTATTAAATGATGCTAATAATATAAATGCTAATTAAATAATATAATATCGAAACACATAAATCGACCAAAAATGTAAAGATTTCATAAAATTATTCAAAAATTGAATTTTAAAGACATATAATATTATATTATTTAACGATAATAAAAAAATTTTTTAAATGAAAATAAACTTTTTGTTTTTTTATGGAAGCATTATTAAAATAATCTATTTCAGTGTTATTTTTGACAATGAATGAAATTTCATTTTTAATCAAACAGCAAGTCAACGATTTGTCAAAATTCTACTAATTTAGCTTCACCAGGGACAATTATCAATTAGTTACTAACTATCTAACTGACAAACTTACTAACTAATTAACTTTCTAACTTACTAAGTAGCCTACTAACTTATCAACTAATTTGCTCACTAACTAACTTACAAACTTAATTACTAATAAACTTACTAACTAACTAACATTCTAATTTACTAAGTAACTTTCTAACTTAATGACTAACTTAAAAAATGAATTACTAATTAACCTAATTAACTTACTATTTACTTATTTAACTAACTAATTATTAACTTACTAACGGAATATATTATTATTTAAATTAAATTATTATTTTTTATCACAGCTGCGGAAGAGCAAGCAGATTTGTTAACACCAATAAACGAAGCATCTGCAGAAATGCAATTCGCAAACGGTAAATCGGGAGGTGTTAAATAACACCAAAATGGATTAAAATAATCTGCAATAATTTAATCCCTCGAAGATTAAATTAACACCAAAATGAATTAAAATAATCCATTTTGGTGTTATTTTTTACTATGAATAAAATTTTATTTTAATTCAAATATCAAGTCAATTACGATTTGTCAAAATTCTACTAATTTAGCTTCACCAGGGACAATTGTCTATTAGTTACTAACTTTCTAACTGACAAACTTACTAACTAATTAACATTCTAATTAACTTTCTAACTTACTAAGCAGCACACTAACTTACTAACTAATGTACTTACTAACTAACTTAAAAACTTATTTATTAATTAACTTACTAACTAACTTACTAATTAACTTTTAACTAACTTAATAGCTAACTTACTAACCAACTTAATAACTAACTTAAAAAAATTAATTACTAATTAACCTAATTAACTTAATATTTAATTATTTAAGTAACTAATTATTAACTTACTAACTGAATATATTATTATTTAAATTAAATTATTATTTTTTATCACAGCTGCGGAAGAGCAAGCAGATTTGTTGACACCAATAAACGAAGCATCTGCAGAAATGCAATTCGCAAACGGTAAATCGGGAGGTGTTAAATAACACCAAAATGGATTAAAATAATCTGCAACAATTTAATCCCTCGAAGATTAAATTAACACCAAAATGAATTAAAATAATCCATTTTGGTGTTATTTTTTACTATGAATAAAATTTTATTTTAATTCAAATATCAAGTCAATAACGATTTGTCAAAATTCTACTAATTTAGCTTCACCAGGGACAATTGTCTATTAGTTACTAACTTTCTAACTGACAAACTTACTAACTAATTAACATTCAAATTAACTTTCTAACTTACTAAGCAGCACACTAACTTACTAACTAATGTACTTACTAACTAACTTAAAAACTTAATTATTAATTAACTTACTAACTAACTTACTAATTAACTTAATAACTAACTTACTAACCAACTTAATAACTAACTTAGAAAAATTAATTACTAATTAACCTAATTAACTTAGTATTTAATTATTTAACTAATTATTAACTTACTAACTTAGTTAACTTATTAACTGATTATACTTTTTATAATTAATATTGTATATTATTATACTTTTTCTTTTAAATGAATTATTGTTTTTTATCACAGTGGAGGAACAATTTCAAAATATGAACTTAGAAACATCTATTGTGGAAGATCAAGTGGATGTTTCTACATCCACAAAAGAAGCATCTGAAAATGTTCAAGCAGCACACGGTAAATAGTGAGGTGTTAAAATAACACTATAATGGATTAAAATAGTCTTAAACAATTTAATCCCTTTAAAATCAAATTAACACCTGAAAGGATTAAAATAATCCATTTTGATGTTATTTTTTATTATGAATTTGAGTTTACCATGGAGTTAGTTACTAACTTACTAAGTAGCAAAGTTATTTTCTAACTAACTTACTAACTAAATTACAAACTTAATTACTAATAAATTATATACTAGTATCTTATCAACTAACTAATTTTCTAACTTACTAACTAAGTATCTCACTAACTTATTAATTGACTTTCTAACTAATTTACAAACTTAATTACTAATTAACCTAATTTACCAATTAACTTATACTAACTTATTAACTTATTAACTAGTGTACTATCTAACTTATTAAATGTAATGCTGCCCACAAGAACAAACATTTGATGTAAAAACGGAGACGAGGACGATACTTTGCATGGTATCGTCTCGTCTTGTGGCAGCACTAGTCTTAAAAGATGGAAAAAATGCAATAATAATAATAATAATAATAAATTATTTTAATTTTAAAGTTACGGTGGTAAACGATACGGTCATTATTGATAAAAAAAGAGAAATGGAATTTCTTCAACTTTCTAAACGTCCTAGGGAGATGGTCAGAAGACTGATGTTGCATTTAGTTGGGCGCGAAAATTTATTGTCAATGACAGCATTAGGGCTTGGAAACAATCCTAACGTTCCGAAAGGGATACCAGAAAACATCAGAGTTGCTGTTTTTGGTTGTTTATATATATTTATATTGATATTTTAATTTTTTTAAAGATAATAATTCATAATATTGTACACTGGAAAAAAATTTTATTGATTCAAATATCCATTTAATTCACTATTATCAATTAAATATTTACTTGAATCAAATAATATTTATTGGAGTCAATTAAACGGTTTTTGAACCAATAATTTCAGTATTTGAATGAAATACCATTTAATTGACAATGAATTGACAATTGACAACGAATATTATTTGATTCAATTAAATATCCAATGGATAATAGTCAATTAATGGTTTATTTGAATCAACTAAATTTTTTTAGTGTAACCCTCGCGCACCCTGCTTCGCGGAGCAGTACATTACGGGGTAACATATCACTTATACTCATTTTATTAATTAAATATTTTAGCTTTAACTTTACAGCGGATGTTCTCATTTATTTTTTATTTCATAATTTAGATTTTATTGGCAAGCATTCAGATGGTCTGTCATATAATGAATACATCAAGGTTTTGAATAATCAGTGCCGAACTTTAAGAAATCCAAAAAAATCCAAATAGCAAAATTAATTAATTAATTCAAAATTGTTTCTACCATTGATCAACTATTTCTTTTTAAGTATTATAAAAACTTTCTCCTCTTATTCCGACTTTTAATTTGTAAGAAAAACACTATCTTTTAAATTCAATAAAAATAGTTTATTAAAAAAGCTAATTTTGAGAATTTTTTATAACAATTTTTTGAGCCGAATATCAAATTTGGTCTTTTTTTATTAAAGGAGAACTTTTTTCATACACGGAGGTACTGAAAACTTTTTTATAGCAATTTTACTTTTTTGTCTGATTTATAAACTATGAAATTGCAACGAATTCTAAAATAAAACCTTTAATTTTTTTTATTTTTCACAATAATTTATTTTTAATTAACTTAATTTTTGAAAAATTATCATAATAATAATTTGATATCTTATAAAATTTTAATCTTACATTAATTCAATTAAAAATTTTAATCAACTTACATTTTTGTAAAATTTTAATAATTCAATTTCTTTTGAAATTAGTTCAATTTTTCAATATATATTTAATTAATTGTTTAAAAAAATGAATTTAAGTGTAGATAAATTTTAGTTTAAAACGATAAAGATATTGAATTTTGGAGACGTTACAAATGATTGCAGAAATTGAATTGAGAAGCTGGATTCTAGAAGTAGCTGTTCGCTCGGACCGCAACCGCTAATACCAATCAAACATGAATATTTTTTTAGATAAATCTTAAATAATTATTACTATTTTTTCATAAGAATTAAAATTCAAACATTTTAATTTTCAAACCTTTTAAAGTTTAATAATTTATAAGGTATTTTATTGTGGCTTCCTGAAAAATTTATTCTTTATTTCAATTCAATTATTTTCTAGAATTTTTATCCTAAATTAATCTATAAATAAATTAATTTAATAATTGTTAAAGTTCTGAAAGAATTTATTTATTTAAAAAAAGAAAGTCTATTTAAAATAATTCTAAAATCTACTTGATCATAATTCAATGTCACTAAATTTCAATTAATCAAAAATTTTTCATTTAAAATGTATTGCATATGTTTAGGGGTCGCATATGTATTGCATATGGGTTTTTAGGGTCGCTGATTACGAATCTGTCATTATTTTTTCAGGGTATTTATCGAAATTTGATTTCACCAAAAATTATCATACTGATGTCAGATTAACCAGTTTCAAACAAATTCAATAAATTTTAAAAAATTTTCCGCCATATTGAACCAGATATTTTGAATTTTGAAAAACTGACTTCAGATTCGTAATCAGCGACCCTAAAAATCCCAAAGTATTCAGCTTCAAGCCAATCTGATCAATTTTTTATTTCGTTGTCCGCCATATTGGATCCGTCATTTTAAATTTTGGAAAACTAATGTTAGATTCGTAATCAGCGACCCTTAAAACCCACGAGTAACAAGTTTCAAGCAAATTCGACGAATTTTGAAAAAATTCCGCCATCTTGGATCCGCCATTTTGAATTTCGAAAAACTGATGTCAGATTCGTAATCAGCGACCCCAGAAACCTTAGGGTACCAAGTTTCATAAAAATCCATTAAAAATTTTTTCAACACACTTTTGGCCCAAACAGTGGAAATCTGGTTGACAGCCAAGGGGTTAAGCGTGGTTGATATAATATTGTTCAAAAATGTCTTAAACGTGGGTGTAGCGTAGCAATACTGTTGATATAATATTGATAAAAAATGACCTAAGCGTGGGTGTAGCGTGGAAATACCGTTAATATAATATTAATTAAAAATGTACTAAGCGTGGGTGTAGCGTGGCAATACCGTTAATATAATATTGATTAAAAATGTACTAAGCGTGGGTGTATCGTGGGTCAACCGTCGATATAATACTGTTCAAAAATTACTTAAGCGTGGGTGTAGCGTGGGTCAACCGTGGATATAATACTGTTTAAAAATTACTTAAGCGTGGGTGTAGCGTGGCAATACCGTAGATATAATATTGTTAAAAAACGACTTAAGCGTGGGTGTAGCGTGGCAATACCGTAGATATAATATTGTTAAAAAACGACTTAAGCGTGGGTGTAGCGTGGCAATACGGTTGATATAATATTGTTCAAAAATGACTTAAGCGTGGGTGTAGCGTGGCAATACCGTAGATATAATATTGTTCAAAATGACTTAAACGTGGGTGTAGCGTAGCAATACTGTTGATATAATATTGATAAAAAATGACCTAAGCGTGGGTGTAGCGTGGAAATACCGTTAATATAATATTGATTAAAAATGTACTAAGCGTGGGTGTAGCTTGGGTCAACCGTGGATATAATACTGTTCAAAATTACTTAAGCGTGGGTGTAGCGTGGCAATACGGTTGATATAATATTGTTCAAAAATGACTTAAACGTGGGTGTAGCTTGGCAATACGGTTGATATAATATTGTTCAAAAATGTCTTAAACGTGGGTGTAGCGTAGCAATACTGTTGATATAATATTGATAAGAAATGACCTAAGCGTGGGTGTAGCGTGGCAATACCGTTAATTGATTAAAAATGTACTAAGCGTGGGTGTATCGTGGGTCAACCGTGGATATAATACTGTTCAAAAATTACTTAAGCGTGGGTGTAGCGTGGCAATACCGTAGATATAATATTGTTAAAAAACGACTTAAGCGTGGGTGTAGCGTAGCAATACTGTTGATATAATATTGATTAAAAATGTACTAAGCGTGGGTGTAGCGTGGAAATACCGTTAATATAATATTGATTAAAAATGTACTAAGCGTGGGTGTAGCTTGGCAATACCGTGGATATAATACTGTACAAAAATTACTTAAGCGTGGGTGTAGCGTGGCAATACGGTTGATATAATATTGTTCAAAAATGACTTAAGCGTGGGTGTAGCGTGGCAATACCGTAGATATAATATTGTTCAAAAATGACTTAAACGTGGGTGTAGCGTAGCAATACTGTTGATATAATATTGATAAAAAATGACCTAAGCGTGGGTGTAGCGTGGAAATACCGTTAATATAATATTGATTAAAAATGTACTAAGCGTGGGTGTTGCGTGGGTCAACCGTGGATATAATACTGTTCAAAAATTACTTAAGCGTGGGTGTAGCGTGGCAATACCGTAAATATAATATTGTTAAAAAACGACTTAAGCGTGGGTGTAGCGTGGCAATAAGGTTGATATAATATTGTTCAAAAATGACTTAAACGTGGGTGTAGCGTAGCAATACTTTTGATATAATATTGATAAAAAATGACCTAAGCGTGGGTGTAGCGTGGCAATACCGTTAATTGATTAAAAATGTACTAAGCGTGGGTGTATCGTGGGTCAACCGTGGATATAATACTGTTCAAAAATTACTTAAGCGTGGGTGTAGCGTGGCAATACCGTAGATATAATATTGTTAAAAAACGACTTAAGCGTGGGTGTAGCGTAGCAATACTGTTGATATAATATTGATAATAAATGACCTAAGCGTGGGAGTAGCGTGGCAATACCGTTAATTGATTAAAAATGTACTAAGCGTGGGTGTATCGTAGGTCAACCGTGGATATAATACTGTACAAAAATTACTTAAGCGTGGGTGTAGCGTGGCAATACCGTAGATATAATATTGTTCAAAAATGACTTAAACGTGGGTGTAGCGTAGCAATACTGTTGATATAATATTGATAAAAAATGACCTAAGCGTGGGAGTAGCGTGGCAATACCGTTAATATAATATTGATTAAAAATGTACTAAGCGTGGGTGTATCGTGGGTCAACCGTGGATATAATACTGTACAAAAATTACTTAAGCGTGTGTGTAGCTTGGCAATACCGTGGATATAATACTGTACAAAAATTACTTAAGCGTGGGTGTAGCGTGGCAATACGGTTGATATAATATTGTTCAAAAATGACTTAAGCGTGGGTGTAGCGTGGCAATACCGTAGATATAATATTGTTCAAAAATGACTTAAACGTGGGTGTAGCGTAGCAATACTGTTGATATAATATTGATAAAAAATGACCTAAGCGTGGGTGTAGCGTGGAAATACCGTTAATATAATATTGATTAAAAATGTACTAAGCGTGGGTGTTGCGTGGGTCAACCGTGGATATAATACTGTTCAAAAATTACTTAGGCGTGGGTGTAGCGTGGGTCAACCGTGGATATAATACTGTTCAAAAATTACTTAAGCGTGGGTGTAGCGTGGCAATACCGTAGATATAATATTGTTAAAAAACGACTTAAGCGTGGGTGTAGCGTGGCAATACCGTAGATATAATATTGTTCAAAATGACTTAAACGTGGGTGTAGCGTAGCAATACTGTTGATATAATATTGATAAAAAATGACCTAAGCGTGGGTGTAGCGTGGAAATACCGTTAATATAATATTGATTAAAAATGTACTAAGCGTTGGTGTAGCTTGGGTTAACCGTGGATATAATACTGTTCAAAATTACTTAAGCGTGGGTGTAGCGTGGCAATA